TTTTTTCTCATCAGTAACATATTGATGGTCATACCTAGCTCACAGGGTTGCTGTGAGGATTGAATGACATCACGTTTAGAAAGTGCGTGGGGTTATGATGCTGGCAGGTAGTTACCAGTCACCATTTTTTTAAAGGGCCAATTACTTTTGTTAACTGTATTTAAGGATAACTGCCCCTATTGTTCCACAGGGCTGACCAATTTGAGTATGTCATGTATGGGAAGGTGTACAGGATTGAGGGAGACGAAACTTCTACTGAAGCAGCAACACGCCTGTAAGTTCCGTGGTCTCGTGAGAGCTCTTTCCCTCCTCATTTTGTGAGGATTTGGGCTATGCTTTGAAAATCTGGACCATCCTCAGCCTCCCTGGATTTCTTTCTTCAAGCACCTCAGACCAAGCGGGACCCAGAAAGGAACTGTTTTGGGAACAGTTTTGGTCTCAAATGTAGGCTGCTCAGTTTGCCCTCTGTCAGGATCTTAAGGCCTGTGATCTAAATGAGAAACTGTTAATTTTGCTGAGTGAAATGCCAAGGAAAGTTACTTCTCCAAGAACTAAATGCAGCCTAAGTGATTAAACTGCTAGGCTTTTTTGTTTGTGTGTGTGTGTATTTTGCTACTCTGCAATCCAATCCCTACTTCTTTGGTTTCTCTGCCCAACTATTTTTTCCTTTTCTTTAAAACCTTATTAAAACAATATGTGCCCTTTGCAAGAAATTTGAAAAGCAGAAAAGTAATATGAAGAAGGAAAAAAGTCACCTATAATTCTATAACCAGAGGGAATCTTCTACATAAACATTCTTGAATATTCTAGGTTTTTTTTTCCTATGTACTTTTTTCTTTGAGATCATGTTGTTTATTACAATGTTTTGTTCTGTTTCATTTACTTAATGTTATGTAAAACATGTTTCTTCATGTCAGTTTAAAGCTTTTCCTAAACATTTTTTTTTTTTAATTCCTGAACATTTTTATAGCTGTGTAACATTCCAGTAAATGGATGTATCTTAATTGATTTGACCATTCCCCTTATTCTGGGCATGGAGTATTTTCCACCTTTCTGATATAAAAAACACTGCCTTGTACATATCTGTGCAATTTGGTTCCTAATGACAGAACCCTAGAAGGGTGCCTTTTTTTCTTAGGCTGGCATGGAGAGCAGCTGAGTAGCAGTTTTAGCTCTGGCAGTCAGACTCACGGGACTGGGTCTTCTGTTTCAGCTCTGCCTACGTGTCCTATGGGGGCCTGCTCATGAGGCTGCAGGGTGATGCCAACAACCTGCATGGATTTGAAGTGGACTCCAGAGTGTATCTGCTCATGAAGAAACTGGCCTTCTGAATCACCCAGGAAGCTAGCCTTGCTGCTTAGTCACTCAGGTCTTGGATGTTAGTTCAAGCCCGAATAGCAGTTGCTGTTGTTCACTTGTTCACACGGGGCTGGCTCTCTGTCCACTGTGGGTGCATCTTTAAGAGGTCTGGACTCTGGGAAACTGACTTGCCTGTGAAAGACCCATTGGGAGAGCTTAAGATGAATCAATAGCTGTTTTATGTACATGATTTTTTAAATTAAACTTTACTTTTTCAGACTCTTTTTCCTTCCTTTTTAAAAAAGGTTTTCCCATTTTTAAATCATATTTTTTCAACTTGCTTGTGCTGCATTATGTTTATAGCCCACAGCCAGATGATCACGTGTCAATATAGGATCTATCCCAACCTTTCAGTATCTGGGTTCAGGATTATCCCCAACATTTCCCCTCCAAGGTGATTTTCTATATGGGAGAGAAAGTGTTGTGCTTTTGGCTCCTGAGGGCACCACCCATTTGGCATAGAACTTTGAATAGGCAAGGAGCCTTGCTTGTGTTCTTCCAACACTTTCAGTCTCTCAGGAAGTCAGATCACGTTGACTTGACTGTGTTGCCTGCATAGCCTGGAAGCATTCATCATTTTTATGGAAGCTTTGAGATGAGGCTTTTGGACACAAACGTGGGGACTCTGAAGAGGGGAGGAGGAATGATCTGGTGGGTGTGGAAGCAGGCCGATAAGCTAGCTATGCTCTACATTCTAACAGTGACCTGGAGGGAGGGTAAGGGCAGTAGTTTTCACCAGTGACACTGGACAGAAAGCTGCCACACAGACCAGTGAAATGGACAGGGCAGCAATACCAATTAGGTTGGCAGTTCAGTGCCAGTGCCCTGGACAATACAGTAGCCTGACTACAGTCACTAATTTAACAGTAGTGGGGAGAGCAAAGTTGAGGCAGTGGTGACGCTTGCAAGGACTCCAGCATCCGAGCTCAGTCTTCAGCCTGGCATTTGTGGTTCAGAAAGTACTTGGGACCCTGATTTCCCCTGGGAAGTTCAGGGTAACAATTCAGAAAGATTGTGTGTATTAAGCTGTTGTCTCTTTTGATTGCCCAGTTTTGCCATGGGAGCTGGTCGTCCCGCTGGGATGCCTGGGGTATTTCCTTCCCCATCATTTTCAGGTCTTTACTGAAGGTGTTAGGAATAGTACTTAGAGAAATGGGTTGAAAATGTATGGCCTCCGAAGGGGGGTGGGGGATGGGCAGGGTGGTGGTGGTGGAGAAAAGATGTTTCTTTTGCTTTACTGGGGTGGGGGAGAGTGAGGGGAGCGGGAAATAGGACTTCACTTGAGTTGGGGTGAATCTTTATGGAATCCTAGAACCTTTTCTGTGCAGTCAAATTTGTTTTTGTAGGGATTGGAGCAGGATGGATTTAGGTGACAAAGGGAACCTAATTACCAATAATGGTTTGTTGGGTAGCAGACTGTCCTAGTTGCCCTGCGTGGCAGAAGAGAGAGAGCTGGTATACAGTTGAATAGAGATAAAGAGTGTCCTCGTTGTAACAATTTTTTGTCATTTCTGTAAAAGGAGGAAGGGACAGAATCAGCCAGATAGAATGACGGGTTAGATGTTCAATAGAGGCAAGTTAGTTTACACTGGAGCAGCACATGAGTTGTTTGCATTTGCCCCAGGGTAAGTCAGATGCCAGCCCTGGATGCCTGGAGCTTTCCGGCTGTGTACTTTTTGTAGTCTTGCCATCTTTTGTCTCTCAGCTGACCGTGCTGAAAACTTTTCTTTGTCTTCGGTCCCTTTCGAGTGTCACGTACTGGGTGCTGGCTTTCATGTACCATAAAGTGTTTCATTTGATCGTTAGATTTAACCTCCTTTAATATTTCAGTAAATCAAAATTTCCGCTTACCATTCCCTTGACTCCACATTGGAATTTGTAGTGTGGATAAACTGATTCTCTTCTATGCAGAAATTGTCACCATCTGAGATTTGGACAGCACTTTTGAGCTTTGTGTGTTTGTTGATTTTTTTTCTCCATGGCAACTATTCTGTCCATGATGTGGGGGGGCGGGGGGAACACCTGGGGATGCCTAAATTGGTCACCCCACCAAGAGCTTTGGTTTTCTACTCAGAACTCATTTAACTGTTGATGTGTACTCTCTAGGGACTTGGAAATTTCTTCTGATAAATAGAGACACTGATACATTGGACAGTGCACCACACTGGGGAGCATTTGGGCTCCAGACTAAGTGTAGGGTGTTTCTTTTCCTGTTAACAGGCTATGAAACCACTGGGAACTTGCTCCTCATCTGTAAAGCAGAGATGTTAATAACCTACCTTATAGGGATGTGTGAGTGTTAAAGGTAATGTGCATTAAGTTCCTGACATGATGGCTTTCACTCTGTTGTTTTGGAATGCCTTTAATGACCCTGGGGTTTTGATGGTGTTTGGAACCCTAGATTTCTTGCTCCTCTACCTAATGGTAGCTTTTGCTGTCTTTTGGGGAGTTGAAATGGGAGAGGAAAAGCTTCCAATAGCTTTCCTACAGGAGCCTCTGGAGGTAGTGTTGACCTTTGCAATGGAGTGTTTGGGGCAATATAAACCTCTTCTTCCTAAGTACTAAGGTGACATTTATTCAAAAAGCCCCATAAGCTTACCTTCTTTTCTAGACATCCCCAGGCAGAGTTTATGGTGGTCACACAGGTTTGCTTTTCAGATACTATATACTTCTGGGAATTGGGAAATAAGCCTTCAACTTGCACTTGACTTGTACTTGCCCCTCCTGCTGTGTGAGCCCTAGGAGACTAACTCAAGCCACTTCCTGCATTTCCCCCTGACCTCCACAGGAGGGAGGCAGGAACCCGCGCCTGGCGAAGCTTCCTGCTGAGCTGCTGAAGCGCTGGCTGTTTGCTCAGCTGTCACATCCAAGTCTCATCTTGTCTTGACTGACCCCATCTGTACAACCTTACCTGGGGTGTAAGGCTCTCCAGAGCTTCCTGTTAGCTTCTCTCAGGGTGGGGGGGAGGGAGGGATATGTTGACCACAAGAAGAACATCTTCCCTTCACTTTTCAGGTAGCTTTGGGTCCGCTCGTTTCTTCATTACTTAATCCCTCTCAGTTTTGTCTGTTATGGAGGAACTTTTCTGAGAGACCTCGCATTCATTTCTCAAGAGTAAGGGTCTCCTAAGAAAAGGGGATCAGAGCTCCATTAAAAATGATAGTAAAGAGAGTAGAGAGACTAACCTTAGTTCTGAGCAGAAAACACAGGCTTTTTTCCTCTGAGATAAGTTCTACCTCTGTTGAGAAGCCAGGCCAGGTCAGGCCTTTGCAGAATTATCACATGAAAAATATATAGAGAATTAGTAAGTTGTAAATTTGTGCAGAAAATAGACCAGAGATAACTAACTGCTCTGGTGAATATTATTGATGGTTTTCAAAAATAGCTTTTGAAGTTTTTTGGCATATAGTAAAAAATTATACTTTTTCTGTCCTGCATGTCCCCCTTCACCAGGACTTTGGGTTTCAGGTGAAAGCAGGAAATCTGATAAAGGCATACCTTGTGGATATTGTGGATTCAGTTCTAGACCATTATGATAAAGTGAATATCACAAGGAGGCAAATCACACAATTTGTTTTTGGTTTCTTACTGCATATAAAAGTCATGTTTCCATGATACTGTGGTCTATTAAGTGTATAATAGCATCAAGTCTAAAAAAGCAATGCACATACCTTCATTAAAAAATACTTTATTTCTAAAAAATGCTAACCATCATCTGACAACACAGGGTTGCCACAAACCAATCTGTAAAAAATACAGTATCTACAAAGAGCAATAAAATGAGGTATGCCTGTATAGCTGCAGTTGTCTCCCAGGGCCTCTCCTACAAGTAAGAGGACTGTACAAGAAGGCTGATGTTGGCAGTCCTGAGTACCTTACTCTTCCTGAGACAGATTCTGGAAGTGAGAGCGGGCTGCAACTAGAAGAGAACTAGAAGAGTTGGGCGTGATGGCTGAGGGGTCAGGAAGCAGGGATTGGAGCTGAACCATGGGGATGGGTGAGGTGGGCGAAGGAGAGAAGAGTGTGTATTGTCCAGGGGGAGGATGGGCTGGGGAAGGAGAATCTCCAGGCTGGAGGTAGGGTGGCAGGGAGCCCATGTCTGAAGTTCCCAGAGGAATATCCGGGGTTCCTAAGGTCCTGGGTGAGGGCCCAGGAAAGAGTCCGTGAATTCCACTTAAGGGTCCTTGTGTCCCATTCAGGTGTCCAGGGATTTGGTCTAAGGACCTGGAGGTTTGGTTCAGCAGACCAGGAATCTTGGCTCTGAATCCTTGCAGCCTGTTCGGAAGTCCAAAGCCAGTAGTTCTGGCTGAGACACTGGAGTTGGTCTCCAACAATCCAGAAGTCCTGTTTGGGAGCTTGTTCAGTGTGAGCAATGGAGAGATGCTGCCTGGGACAGCTGTGGCGGGTGGGGTCCACTTGGCACAGAGGGTGGGCCCCACTACAAGCAGCAGGAAGCGCACCTTTCCTCGGAGCAGCTGTTGGAAGCTCAGGAAGATGGCACTGGGATCCTTGTGAGCTGTGGTCCTGCCCTGTGGAGGAAGCTGAGGGCAGAGGGTGGGCCTGAGGCCAGATACCTGGGCCAGATATCATGCCTGCCTGTCTACATGGGGAAGATAAGGTGCCAGAACCCAGGCTTTGTGACTGGGAGGATGCACTCCTTAGCAGGTCAGCTCTTCCACCCTCAGGATTTCCAGAATTTTCTAAGGGGACTGAGTCAGAAAAGGAATATTCTCTAATTCCCTTGACTGGGGACTTACCTGGGTTCCTAGGAGGCCCCGCAGGGCCCCAAGGAGGAGGCGGACCTGCCCAGAAAGCTGCACCAGGAGGGATGAGAGGCAAGTGGGGCCCAGCTGTCCCCGCGCTGCCATCACTGCCTCCAGCAGAAGGGTCGTGGTTCCCAGAACGTCCTGTGCCTTGGTCTGCTCCTGGGAAAGAGATGGAAGAGAGAAGCGGACAGCTTCAAAGGGTATTCGAATAGCGGGTGGGGAGTCTGTAAGAGCAGCCAGCAGAATGAATCATAGGAGCTGAGAATTGGACAGGACCTAGGTCCCACCCAGCACAGGAATTCCTTCAGTCTCCCGACAATTGGTCATCAGCCTCTGCTTGAATAACTCCAGTGTCCGGTAACCCAGCTGGCTCTTAACACGTAATTTCAGTAAGAAAAGCTCTTTTTATTTTTATTTTTTTTTCCCGTTCTTACATTATTCTGTAATCTGCCCTATTATAGCTTTTACCTCTTGGTTCTAGTGCTGCAAATCCAGTCTTCCTTCTACAGAATGTTAGGATCATACGATTTTTAAAACCTTAACGTAGATATGGGACCATAGTAAAAATTATAAAGATGAAGGGAAGAGGCTTACTGATAAATGGCAGAACAGGCTCTACAAGGGATCACTAACAATCGCCCTTCCTCCCTGGCCTGTTCCCCAGAAGACCTGAGGGAAACAAGAGAATTCTAGGTGTCTTGAGGGCAGAGGAGCTTACCTGCTCAGCAGTACTCCCTTCTAGTAGGTTTCTTCAGTCTCAGACTAAAGCACTTTGTGCTCTACCATAAGATGGCCACTCTTCTCCATCCCAATCACATGAGCTTAATTATTTCTTTAAACCATTCTTCACATAACATATTTTCTAACCTCTCACTGTTCAGGTTGCTTCCTCCTTTTGGAGACATTCTAGTTTAATATGGTCCCCTGAGTAAATTAGCATGCGTCTAAAAGAGGATGGCTAGTGTTCAGTGCAGTAGTTTAAGTGTAGTCCACAGACACAGAGAACAAACCTATGGATACCAAGGGGAAATGGGTGGGGTGAACTCAGAGATTGGGATTAACACATATACACGATTGATACCATGTGTAAAATAGATAACTACTGAGAACCTACGGTATAGCACAGAGATCTATTCCATGATCTGTGGTGACCTAAATGGGAAGGAAGTCCAAAAAGCAGGGGTATGTATACGTATAGCTGATTAACTTTGCTAGACAACAGAAATTAACACAACCCTGTAAAGCAACTATACTCCAATAAAAATTTCGTGAAATGTGCAGTCCACTCAGAATAGAGCTTTTTAGAAATATTTCTACAAAGTGGATGTTAAACATCTAAAGCCACCTAGGATCTCTAACTTTTTAAATAGCTGCTGCTTCAGTAATATTACAATGCTAAGTTTGAGGCACTCCAACCCTCCCAGGTCTTTTTCATCGTAAGTACTAGGGCTATAAATTTATGTGAGGGAAGCAGGGGCACTGTGGCCTGAAAGACAGAAGCGGATTTTATTCAGTTACTTCATACATCCAGAGTTTTATATATATCTGTTATATACATCTTTGTTTTTGACCTAGTCTTTTAGCAATTTGAACCTTCATTCTGTCTTTTGTTTTAGCTGTGCCTCCCAGGTTGGTTTTTTTTGTGTGTGTGTGCGCCTCCCAGTTTTGTGTCATCAGAGGATGATAGATCGGTCTTGCTTCTTCACACCAACTTAAGGTTGAACAGATTAAGATGAGTAAATTTTGGGGGTCTAATATACAGTGATTATAGTTCATAATACTGAATTGTGTACACTTGAAATGTGCTAAGAGAATAGATTTAAAATTTTCTCACCACAAAAAAGAAATATTAGGGCTTCCCTGGTAGTCCAGTGGTTAAGAATCCATCTGCCAATGCAGGGGACATGGGTTCGATCCCTGGTCCAGGCAGATCCTACATGCTGTGGGGCAACGAAGCCCATGAGCCACAACTACTGAGCTCCTGCTCTAGAGCCCTCGAGATGCAGCTACCTAAGCCTGCATGCCCTAGAGCTTATGTTCCAAAACAAGAAAGGTCACCACAATGAGAAGTCTGTGTACCGCAACTAGAGAGCAGGCCCTGCTCTCTGTAACTAGAGAAAACCCAGGCAGCAAAGATGACCCAGTGCAGCCAAAATAATAAATAAATAATAAATATTAATTACAGGATGTGATGCAGGTATTAGCTAATGTTAATCATTTCATAATATATGTACATCAACACATTGTGTACTGCCTTAAACTCACACAATGTTATATGCCCATGATATCTCAATAAAGCTGAAAAAATGGAAAAATCTGAATTTAAAGGTCAATGAGGCTAATAGTATGCTACAAAATAAATTGACTACTGTTTCTTGCCTTAAAAAAAGAAAAACGGTTGAATGGAAATAGGTCAAAGGCATGGCCATGAGAGACCTCTATCCAGCTTTTCATGGTCAGCCTTGACTCTATTTAACATACTGGGCCACAAGCCATCATCTTGTCCAGAAGATATCCCCATAGTGGAATGTATATTGGGTTAGGGTGGCCAAGTTGAAGGGGAGCTCTTTTTTAGAAGAGAGCTCAGAAATTTTGAAAAATCCATGGGAATCAGTAGGCAACAGATGAAAACAGGATTAGGGAAACCAAGGGAAAGGATGGCTTTCTTACCGTCTGGGTTTTCCATTCTCCCAAGCTGAAGTCCACAGCAGGCAGAAGGACAGGTGTGGACAAAGGGTTAATGTCTGGACACTGGCTCTGTTGAAAAAGATTGGTGGGGTGGTGGAGAGGGCACCGAAATAGAGGGGGTTATGGTAGTCCAATTACCAGAATAGGCTTCCATGAGGAATATAACCAGACTAGAGCTTTTAAGAGAACATTTGATTATAAACCATAATCTTTGTAAGGGGGTAGTAATCAGGTCAGGGGGTGGTGGTGGTGGTCTTACTAAGACAATATTGGAAGGGTAGTGATTGGATTGGGGAGTGAGAGGGAGTGGCGGGAGTGAGGGTATCTTTCCAGTTAAGTGGGCAGAAGGGAGAATGCTTGGGGATTCTCACCAGTCTGCTGTGAAGGACATGGGAGTCACGAAGCAGTTTATTTAGGAGTCGAGGGTCACAGGCAGGAGGAGCCGGGCTGGACAGAGTTAGTCTTGCAGTTAGGAGAAGGATGACCACGAGGAGCAATTCTTAGATGAGGAGAGGTGAAGTTGAAAGGGGTGGATAAAGAAGAAATCATTGTTGGTTGGCGGTCCAGAAATTCCTATTTAGGACCCAGACCTGAAATCCAGGGAATCTGCTGCTCAGAGGCCTTATTCCTGGGAGACTGGCTGCCTCCCGCCCAACCCACCACCACAGCACGTTTCCTTTCTCTTTTCCCTCTACCAGGTTCTGATTTGGCCCTAATTCTTCCAAGAGTTTTCTTACCAGTCAGCTCCATTCTGGCCAGGCTGTCTGCTTGGAGTGGCTCCCTGAATGGGGCCTCTCCCCTGAATCCGTCCTGGGGCCATGGAGGCGGCTTGGGCTCTTGCACTTCTGGGCAGAGTGGGGTGGGGTACAGGTGGGGCACAGGTGGGCCAAGGAGGAGGAGGATCTAGAACCTATCCTGCAAGTGACAGGAATGATGAACAGATGAACAATTAATGGAGTTTCAAGGAAAAGAAACTCTGCCTGGCTGGGGGAACAGACGTTGGGATGGTGTGAGATGCTGACCAGCCTAGAACTGCTAAAGCCCCAACTGCTCCAGTCATCTTGTGATTGTACCATACAGTGTCTCATCTTTGTCAGAGTTCCTCAGTACCTCTGAGGTGGCTCTGGTGCCCCAGCCCCCTGCCAAGAGCAGCAGGACAGAATATGTACACACATATCTAACTGCCTCAAAATCTGAGTAACTCTGCTCGTTTGGTTGGAGAAAACCTGGAATGGGGATAGAGAATGGAAGCACTGGGGCACAAGCCTGGAGAAAAGATTGGAAATGGCCATAGGGCCAGGACCAGGAGCTAGCAAACATGTACAATGTGCTCAGGGGTAGCTTGGGGAGTGGGGTTGAGGAGGGGAATTGGACCAAAATAAAACTGAACTATAAAAGTTAGTTATTAAAAGATTGAGAAGATGATGTGGGAGAAATTAACCTCTCATTCTTTTTCTATCTACTCCAACACATAAAGCCTCTTGGGGTTTTTCTTTGGTTATTCAAGGAGAAGAGATGGGCTAACAGTTCTGGAACTTCCTTCCTGAAGCAAGTTGCCCAGAAATGAGCATGTGCTGGGTGAGCTGATGCCTGCCTTACAGGGCTTACCTCACCTTAGACACCCACCATATCTTCCCATAGCCCTCACCTTCCTCCCTGCCCCCTCTGCAGACCCCTTCCGGTTCCTTTGCAGGACCCCCCACATGGCTTCCTTCTTCTTTCACAAGTTGTGCAAAGAGGCCTGCACCTGATTCAATATTGGGATTTCCTGTAGGTCTGTCAACATTCATGAGCCCTCCTCCTATTACCCTCTCCTTGTGCCCTGGCTTGCCTGGCCTAGCTTCCCCAGCCCCAGGATTCAGAACCTCTTAAGCTCATTAGGAATGACTGGGTATGAATGGGGGCTGAGTCTGTGTCCACCTCGGTGCCATGTTCCCTAAGTCCAAAAAGCACCTTCTTTCTTGTTTTCTCCCTGGGCTCATGTCCCCTTTCTTGAAGGCCAGCCAGGACTGTGCTGTATTCCACCAAGTCTGTTTTCTGTCCCTCAGAACCCAGCACCCCACCCCCTACCCCTGCTCTGTCCTGCTCCTCCCATTCTGGGAAGGCCACACTCTTCTTGACAAAGGTCAGTGCCTGGAGGTTCCAGTTTGCTTACCCCTCCCCCAGCAGAGAGCCCAATTCCTCTTTCCTGCCCTTCCTACCCTCACTTAACTCCAAACCTGGCTTGCCACTCACCGGGTAGAGAAGGGCTCCAGGACTCAGGTCCAGAGCAGGCAGCACTCTGGGGAGCAGATGGGTAGGAAGACAGGTGGCTGTTGGGGCACAGCCCGTCTGGGGCACTGGGGTCACACGCCTGCCCAGGCCAATTCTGCCCAATCAGAGAGCAGGGAACCACTAGACACAGGCAATGACCCCCGGAAGTGACGCTTTCTCCTCCCACCTGCGTAGGACCTGGAGCCCCTGCCTGGACCATGGTTCACTAATGGAGCCCAGCTCTCCCACTCATGCATACGGCACGGAGGATTTGAATAGGGGGATCTGTCTCTTCCTAGGAGCTGGGAAATCTGGGAACTGGCTGGGGGAGAAGACAGGAGGGAAACAGCTTTTTTTTCTAGGAGGAATCTGGCAGGACGTTTTTACCCCTCAGGAAGAGGTACAGAAGTCTGGTTTTAGACTGGTGGGTCTCTTGGTTCCTGGCTGTCCAAATTTCTTTTCCCTGGACAACACACCTGCTGCTAAAATCTGTTCAGGCTCTTGCTTTCCTGCTTTCCTCACCAATAACACACTGGGGGCATGTCTTGTTCCTCCTTCGCCAGTGGGAATGTGGGTGCTGCCTGTACTAAGAGAAGACCCTGCCAGGGGTCAGCATTGCCAGGAAGCAGTCTGGACAGTTTGAGAGGACTTCAAGGTGAGGGAATGCGTGTGCTGGACTAAGCTGGGTTCAGGTGCCCCTCTGCTGGGGCCCCATGGCTCTGATGGCTAAGCCCACTTATCTCTGTGCCAGGGCCCTCTTTGCCTGCCCTGTCTTTCTCCCTCTCCCATCTCCTACGACTCCACATGTGACAAGAGGAATAACCAGGCCCATGTGTCCCTGTCTTAGGAAAGACAGCTGCTGAACCTCCCCCGCAAATACCTCCTGCTGGCCCCCCTCTTCCACTGGCCTTGGCTCTAGTTCCTCTGCTTTCTCCTCAGTCCCACTCTCCCCACGGTCTGTCTTAAGGGGCCTCCTGGTTTGACCTTATTCCCACCTCCTCCCCTCCCACCCCAACTTCGTCCTCAGGCTCTCTCCTGCTCCTCCTCCCAAGGATGGGGCTGTCTGCTAAGGAGTATGGCCTAGATCCCGGAATTCTCCAGTTCAGCCAGACCAGATGCCTCCCAAGATTAAGAAGGAGGGTGCTGGGATGGTTGGAAGGATGGTGGGAGTGTGGGGGTGGGAGGTGGCAGGGAGGCTGTCATGACTAGGAAAGCAAGACAAAAGAGGTTGTGGGTAGGGTGGAGAGGCAGAGGGTCCCCCAGGTGAAGGAAGAGGGTGGGGAAGTGTGTCAGGCTGGGGAGGAGATGGTTGGATGGGCCTGAGCACAGGTAATAGTAGGGAGAGAAACGCTGTCAGCAGACAGAAAGGGGATGCAGTCTGTTTCTGGCTAAGTTCCTATCCCAGGGGCAGAGGAAAGAGGAGAGATCTCAGAGGGGAAGTAGGGACATAGGCTGGGCAATGAGAGTGGTGTGGCGTTTGAGAGGTGCTGTGGGCCCAGAGACAGGCGAAGATGAGTTGATGGGCCCGTCCTGCCCGTTGTCATCCTTAAAGACAATTCTTCATCCTTCCGGCAGGAACCCAGTCCGAGCGCAGTGGCCGGCCCAGGCCTCAGGCTGTCTCTGCCCCTCCGTGGCCTGGGGCTCCCATCCCGGGCCGGACACGCACCTCCTGGTCCAGCTGCCCTGTGGACGCCGGCAGCGGGTGGGGGCTCCAGATCCGCCTCTCCTCCCCGCTTTGCGCCCCCTGGTCCCTCCCCTCCCCCTATCCCCTCCGCTCCCCCAGCCCCGGCCCCCTCCCGCCGCACCGCCCCCGGCCCGGCCCTCCTCGCGTCTCCCTCCTCCCTCTGCTGCTCCCTCCTCCCTCCCGCCTCCCCAGCTGTCCCGTTCGCGTCATGCCGAGCCTCCCGGCCCCGCCGGCCCCGCTGCTGCTCCTCGGGCTGCTGCTGCTCGGCTCCCGGCCGGCCCACGGCGCCGGCCCCGAGCACCCCGCGCTGCCTATCCGGCCCGAGAAGGAGCCGCTGCCCATTCGGGGAGCAGCAGGTAGGTGGGCGCCCCGGGGGAGGCGCGGGCGGGGAGTCCGGCTCGGGGCAAGTCTGCGCCCGCCCGGAGGGGGCGCAGGGCGCAGGTGGTTCGGCGCGGCGGGCGGCCCGGAGGGGTGCCCAGGGACCTGGGGCCCGGCCCGCAGCACCCGGGGCGGGCACACGGCAGGAGCGGGACAGCGGCCGCCAGCCAAGCCCGTCCCCGCAGGCTGCTCCTTCGGCGGGAAGGTCTATGCCTTGGACGAGACGTGGCACCCGGACCTGGGGGAGCCCTTCGGGGTGATGCGCTGCGTGCTGTGCGCCTGCGAGGCGGTGAGTGGACCCAGTGGCTGTGGCCGGGGGCCCTGTGGGTCGGGGAGCCCTGAGCTCTTGGGACGTCGGATGGACCCGGAGCTGCTGAAGAGAAAGAAGCCAATCTGCAGATATTTTGGATAATTTTTTTGACGGAGGAGGCACGAGGGAGGATAGAGGAGAGGAAGCGCCCCCTTCAAGTCTCAGGTGTTGCCTATTATTGATCGTCCACTATGTGTCAGGCTCTTAGCCAGCTCCATTTCATCTCTCACTTAACTCCTAGTACAACCGCGTTAGACAGAGGCTATCATTACTCCCGTTTTTCAGATAGGGACCGCACACGCCCAGAGAGGTTAAGTAACTCGTCTAGAGTCACGCAGCTTGTAGGTAGCAAAGCACTCTTGACTCCGGGGGCCGACCTTGCCCTTGTCCGATGCCTCTTCCCAGCTTGCCTTTGAGTCTCAACAATTGATGTCTTGCCCTCACCCGGTTTTCCGTCTTCTCTGTGAGCAGCCTCAATGGGGTCGCCGCGCAAGGGGTGCAGGTAGGGTCAGCTGCAAGAACATCAAACCCGAGTGCCCAACCCTGGCCTGTGGGCAGCCGCGCCAGCTGCCTGGACACTGCTGCCAGACCTGCCCCCAGGGTAAGGCTGGCTCCGCGGAGAGGGGAGGACGGCAGGGCCGAGATGCTTGGTCCTGGGTCGCGTGGCTGGGCTGGAATGGAACTGTCAGCTGGCACTCTCCTTGTCCACCTGAAACCCGTGTCCCCCACCCTCGGTGCAGAGCACAGCAGTCCGGAAAAGCAGCCGACGGGCCTGGCCTTCGAGTATCCACGCGACCCAGAGCACCGAAGCTACAGCGACCGCGGGGAGCCAGGAGCTGAGGATCGGGGGCGTGGAGACGGCCACACGGGTAGGCAGGGGCTGGGTAGGAGCTGGGGTTGTGACGGGCGCCGGGCCGCAGCAGCGGGTGTCGGCACTAGGGACATCTTCCTCCCCTCGCAGACTTCGTGGCGCTGCTGACAGGGCCAAGGTCGCAAGCGGTGGCGCGGGCTCGAGTGTCGCTGCAGCGCTCCAGTCTGCGGTTCTCCATCTCCTACCAGCGGTGAGAAAGAGGAAGGAAGGAGGAGGGGTCAGCCGGGGGCCAGGGAGGGAGAATTTGAAGAGGCTGGAGCAGCGCTTCTGGCCCAGGCTCAGAGCCGGTGTTCAACGGATGCTCATTACCAGGCTGGACCGTCCTACCCGAATCCGCTTCTCTGATTCCACTGGCAGCATCCTGTTTGAACACCCTGCAGCCCCCACCCAAGACGGCCTGGTGAGACAATGCCATTTATGAGTGCTTTTCCCATCTGGGCACTATGCTGAGAGCATGCTCTACATTGCCTCCTTGGGTCCTCACAGCAGCCCAGTGGGAGGGAGCCACTGACATTATGATGCCCATTTTACAGATGAGGGAACTGAGGCTCAGTAGCAGAAAGTGATTTGTTCAAGGTCATACAGCTCGTTAGTGGAGGATCTGGGATTTGGACCCTGGAATCTGGTTCCAGGGCCGTTTCTTACACGTCCTAGGAGAGCCTGGGGGCAGCTTCCCATATTCCTTCCTCACCAGATGTGGGCCTCTCAGCAGGCATGTCCTGTATACTGAGAGGGCCTTCTTGTCTCTCTGCTCCAGGTCTGCGGGGTGTGGCGGGCAGTGCCTCGGTTGTCCCTGCGACTCCTTAGGGCAGAGCAGCTGTATGTGGCACTTGTGACACCCACTCACCCTTCAGGGGAGGTCTGGGGACCTCTCATTCGGCACCGGGCCCTGGCTGCAGGTGAGGGGAGCCAACAGCTCCTGGACATGAAGTTCAGAGTCTTCTTGGCCCCCAGAAATGGAGTGGGCTGAGAGGGGCACTTTCTGATGGGCTCTCATGGTCCTTTCTTCTCCAGAGACCTTCAGTGCCATCCTGACCCTGGAAGGCCCCCCACAGCCTGGCATAGGGGGCATCGCCCTACTCACTCTCAGTGACACAGAGGACTCCTTGCACTTCCTGCTGCTCTTCCGTGGACTCCTGGAGTCTAGGAGTGGGGGTAAGCGGGATGGGGGCAGACACGTAAGGAGGGTAGGGAGAGCACCCATCTTTCAGAGGTTCCATGTGTGCGGCTGTTGCAGGACCAGCCCAGGTTCCCCTGCGTCTCCGGATTCTACACCAGGGGAAGTTACTGCGAGAGCTCCAAGCCAATGCCTCAGCCCAGGTGAGTGAGGGTCTGGCTCTTACTGCTGCCTGCTCTAGCCTCTTGCTGTGCCTACTGCACCCGCCTCTGCCCCCAGGAACCAGGCTTTGCTGAAGTGCTGCCCAACCTGACAGCCCAGGAGATGGACTGGCTGGTGCTGGGGGAGCTGCAGATGGCCCTGGAGAGGGCAAGTGGGCCAGGGCTACGCATCAGTGGACATATTGCTGCCAGGCAGAGCTGCGATGGTGAGGCAGGGTGAAGCCGGGCACCCCGGGCACACACAATGAGAGGCACAGCAAAGTGCCAGAGGGGCCAGGGTGGGTACAGGAGGGATCCTGGGGGCTGGGGTGTGAATGGCCATGGGGCAAGCCAGCGTCCACCTGTCCCTCCCCCTTTGCAGTCCTGCAAAGTGTCCTTTGCGGGGCGGATGCCCTGATCCCAGTTCAGACGGGTGCTGCGGGTTCAGCCAGCCTTACACTGCTAGGAAACGGCTCCCTGATCTACCAAGTAAGAGTCAGGGGTGGGGCAGGGGCAGTGTGGGAGGTGAAAAGGAAGCAGGGCAGGGCAGGCCTCTAG